GTGATAGAAATCTGGTTCGACAACGTCGACATCATGAATATAACGAAGATAACGCACTTGTGAGTCAGTCTACTTGTGGATTGGAATTCAATTTATTTTAAAGAAAAAGAATTAATTAACGATTAAACTCGCTGTTCCCAGAGTTAGGTGGCTTAGCCTGCTTGGGGTTTGGTAAGGGTGGTTCCTTGACCTTCATTTGACCTATGGAGGTCACGTTAACCTTATACTTTGATGCATATCTAGATGTAAAATTTCCCGCTCTTTCTGAATCCGGCATTAAAAATAGGAGGTTCCATTTAAAAAAGTGACCTTGATTTTGAAATGACCTTGAAAACTGACTTCAAGGTCAAGGTCATTAGCACAAGTAGATGACCCCCACTGTCCTCGACAACTTTTATCAGAACATTTTTTTTGTAGGTTGCGTAGTTTCGGAGATATCTCCGTTTGTTGATTAAAATGGGTCACCGTGTATATAGTGATATTGCGGCACTGCTACCGCTCCTTCGCCTGTCACAAAAAGCGTAATTCTTGCCGCGAACGGAGACACCGTAAAGCGTCGTCTACCAATCTCTAAGAGGAGGGCCGAATTAGCATAATAAGATTTAATGTGACAATTTTTTGTTTGTTTTATATTTAGGGCCTCATCGGGCCTCCGAAAGGTGAAAGTCATAGGACTGCTCGGAGGACTTCCGCCGAAGGTAAGTGGGCTAGATTCGGCCGGGCCACGATGCCAGAGAGGGAAGCAGCGAATCCGGCGTACGTTCGCGAGTTGCGAAGTAGCATAATTGGCTATGCGGAAGCGTCGCCAAGCGCGTCGTCTGCTGCCGCTGTAGAGGAGCACGCACGTGCAAGTCGACGTCTGCGAGAAAAAAATTAAAGAAGGGCTCAAGAAAGCCTCATCGAACGAGGAAGGATACTCCGAGGAACATCGCCTAGGTTTCAATAGGCAAACGGATATCAGGAAAGGATGTTCCGAGGAAGACGGACAAGTAGCGTAAGATAGCGTGCGCTACACGCTCGATTGCGTTTCGCGAGTGCTGCGACGCGCGAAGTTCTGCCGCGCGATAATTGGTCCGCACCCCCACGCATGTTACCTAAAAAGGGAGATCGCGGTCGATACATGATCGAGCGCTGATCCTGCGTGTGCTTTTTGCGTCTCGATTGTTGTCGTGACCACATTGGCTGACGCTTACCTGTGTTCCGAGCCATATTGTTCTGCCGAGCTGACTTTCGTTGGAGACGACGCGGAGGACGAGTAAAGCGTATCGGTAAGATTGCCTTTCTCTGGATTGAAGCCACGAACTTGCATTACAGCTGAATCGTGTTGTTCGCTGTCGATCATCTCGAAATTGTTCTTTTGGAAATTCTTTTGCATTGTGTGTGTCAAGCGATCGGAATCCGACGGACAACAGAATTTTGTGGCTCCGTTATTGTAGACCTAAGGAAGGTCGCAAGCTCGCGTGAACATGGGCCTCTTAGAAATCAAACGACGAAACGGACTAGCCATTCGTGTTGTGATTGTCATATCGTCATTGTCGTGCCGTATTACATTAGATATAAGAATTTCGTTGTGGAGCCATAGATTTGCGTGTTTCCGACGGTAGAATTCGATCGCGTAAATGTCGCGTTAATGTAACGTTTTCCTTGCATTTATGTGGCGTTTATTTTGCGTTCTTTTAGCGTGTCATTCACATTATTTGTTGCGTCTCTGTCGCGCCTGTTTAGCATCTTTTTTGCATTTTTGTAGCGTCTTTTTCGCGTTTTTATAGCATTTCTTTCGCGTTAATATTACGTCGTACAATATTTGATGTAAGAATCTCGTGGCGAAGCCGTAGATAAGCATGTTTCCGACGGTAGAATCTATTAGTATCTCATACATATCGCGCCTTATGATGTTTTCTTTTGCATTTATATAACGCTCTGATCGTAGGTAATTAGCGTTTTCTTTCGCGTATCTTTCGCGCCTCAGTCGCGAATTTTTGTCATTCCTCTCGCATTTATCTAGCGCTCTGGCTGCAGATAAATTGCGTTGGGAATTTTTGGTCCGTGTTTGTAACTGAGGGAGTTACAAACGATGAAATATTCTTGCGTTCGGCTCGAGTCGTCGTACTCGCTGGCTGAGAACTTTGGTTTCTTGCGTTTAATCGCGTATTTAGCATTTTCGTAAAGGCATTCTTTCGTATTAGAGTTCTCGGCTATTAGCGTTCTTGGTAACTTGTGATATTTTCGGGTAGATTTAGCGTTTCGATACTCGCGTTCGACGATGCGCCGACGATGTTCAACCTTGTCGACGTTGCACAAGTATTCCGTACTTTGTGTCGCGCCAGTTTTGTTGGATAACATGCGACTTAATCGTATTAACGTAAGAACGGCCGTCGTTTTGACGCTCCTTAAGAAATTGATGTTGCACTTTTGATATAATTCACGATTCTTGTCTTGTTCGACAATAGCAATTGCGAATTTAATTACATTTATCAGTGTGAGAACAACCGCTCAAACGGCGTTCGCAAGAACCTATCGCGTCGAATTATTTATTCTTCTTCTTTTATTTTCGATTTATTGTTAACGTAATTTCCGTGTTAAATGAATGTTTTTCTTGTTCTCGTTGACGAACCACGTCTTTTTTGCGTCCTACTTACGCCATTGCCGTACATGTTATCATGTCTGTCTTCTCTGCTTAAATATTGCGATCTGTCGCTCGAGGAATTTTTGACTCCGTCACTCTCCATTGGGAAGGTCGATCTAGTTGTGCTCATTGCGAAACAATTTTAGGGAAAATTCTCACGATTATATGGATTTTCGGTTACGCTAATAACGTTTGGCGCCCAACTTTGGCTTTTTGGTTCGGTTTGTCTTTTGTGTACCTCTCATGTATTTAATGCAGTTGTTTCGCAGTGATTTGTTGCGTTCCCTTACGGGGACAATTTTGCTAAACGACGTCCCGTCCCCGTCCGGCTGGCCTTTTTGTTGTAGGGCCGCGACTAAATGTTCGGTCGGCGCGCGAAGCTCGCGCACGCGAAATCCCTTGTCGGCGTTCTGGTTCGTGGAAACGGACATGACGATATCGAGTCGCTCTGAGACATTTCATCTTGCGTTGTCGGTCGCCCGAACTTGGCGCCTAACGTGAAGAGAACTCAGTTTGCGTGTGTTCGCCCTGTCGCAATATATATATACGAAAACAAATCACTATGTACCCGTGCTAGTAATGAAGACACAAGTTTTTCACAAACATTTTTTTTTATTTTTCAACATAATCCCCTTTTAGGAGGATATACTTTCTTCAACGCCCTTACCATTTTTTAACTCTTCTGTAAATTACGATTTGTCGAATTCTGCAAAATAGGCCTTCGGCGATGACCAGTAGGTACTCATTCGACGTAAATATCTTTTCACCGAGACATTTTTTTAAGTTTGAAAACAGGAAGAAGTCGCAGAAGGCCAAATTCGGAGAATGTAATCAATCGGCAATAATTTGTAGCGCAATTCGACTGTAATTTGGCTGTGGCAACCGCGGAGGGGTTAGCCGGTACATTGTCGTGGTGGAACAACTCTTTTTTTTCGCTAAACGGGGCGTTTTTTAAAATTCTACATAGAATCGGCCTAATAAATCATCATAGTACTACCTCGTGATAGCTTTTCCCTTCTCCAAATAGTCGATAAAAACCATGCCTTGCGCATCTCACAAAACAGTGGTCATCATCTTTCCGGCCCATGGGACCGTCTTGGCTTTCTTCGGAGCACGTTCACCGGGTGAAGTTCACTGTTTTGATTGTTCTTTGGTCTCCGGTGTGTAGTGAAGGATCCATGTTTCATCGACGATTACGACTCGACGTAAGAACTCTTGCAGATTACGCTTAAACAGCTCCAAACACTGCTTCGAAATTGATAGTCATATCCGCTTGTTGTCCACCATGAGCAATCGCGGCATCCATCGTGCCGGCAGCTTTTTCATTCTCAAGTTATCATGCAAAATATTGAATGTCGTTCCGTACGACACATCTACGGCCTTTGCTACTTCACGCACTTTCGTTTGGTGATCAGCGAGAGTTATGTCGTGGAAATCTTCAACGATTTCCTCAGTAACCACGTCTGTCCAGCGGCCTGGGAGCTCCTCGTCAAAAACAAATGAACGACCACGTTTGAATTCGTTGAACCAATATTTTACGGTTATCATAGATGGTGAAGGGTTCCCATAGACGGCATCCAAATTCGTTTTCATTTCTTCGCACGTTTTTCCATCCAAAAATAAAAAGCGAATTATGGATCGATATTGCTCTTTTTTCATTGTATCGAAAAACATCAAACATGGTCACGACGAATTGCTGCCAAATCAAATCTATCGCATGAATCATTCAGAAATTTGGTATGGCGTCGTTTAAAAGATGGTAGTACACGATAGTATTGCCAAACTGCATCAGCAACGCGGCCTGTCTTCAAACACGGGTATTTTTACACTTATTGATTTGTCCTCGTATATATACGAGGGTAAATCAAATATAAACCGGAATTACTTTTTTTTGTTTAATTGAAGCATCATAAAAAAACTAACATACATAACTATTTTTCTACATAATTTCCGGACTTTGAAACACATTTTTCCCAACGGGTAACCAGTTTTTTAATTCCGCTATCATAAAATGAAGGTGGCTGTGACAGCAGCCAATCGCTCACGAAGAATTCGACAGAAGCATCGTTGTCAAATCTTTGTCCTCCAAGTGCTTCTTTCAGTGGTCCAAACAAATGATAATCGCAGGGCGATAAGTCCGGTCTGTAGGGAGGATGTTCCAGTGTAGTCCAGACCAGTTCTTTAATTTTTTGACGAGTTAAGGCAGCCGTATGGGGCTGGGCATTGTCGTGAAGCAGGATAACATCTCGGATTGGAAATCCGCGTCTTTTCCGACAATATTCGCGTTTTGCTTCGGCCAAAAGTTAGCAGTAGTATGCGGCGTTTACAGTGCGACGTTCGTTTGACGTGAAGAAAATCGACGTGCAAAATACCTTTAAAGTAAACAAAATACAGTTGCAAGAACTTTTCCAGCTAAGAACTGAGTTTTGGCCTTGACGAATGCAGATTCACTTTTCTTTCGCCATTCCATACTGGCTTCTTTGGATTCCGGGGTGTAGTGGTGCACCCAAGTTTCGTCGCAAGTCACAATTCGGTGCAAAAAAGCTTCCCCTTCGGCCTGATAGCGTGTCAATAGCCGTTTGCATACCTCCAAACGGTACCGTTTCTGATTTTCGGTGAGAAGACGAGGGACCCATGTAGCGGACACTTTTCCAAACCCAAGGTCATCAGTAATGATTGCTTGAGCACTGCCGAAGCTTATTCCGACCTCAGAAGCAATTTCAGCCACCGTTAATCGACAGTCACTCTCGATAAGGCTGCCAACCAGGCGAATATTCTCCTCTGTCACTGGTCTTTGGGCGACGTCGGTGCCCCTCATTTTCAAGTTTCTCCTCCTTCTAAAAATTGCTTCTACCACTCGTATACTTGAGTCTTCTTAAGCGTATTGTCCCCGAACTGTGCTTCAAGCCTTCTCAATATGTCCGACAGTTTTACGCCTTCTGTAGTGAGAAATTTAATAATAATTCTTTGTGCAACGGACGAGGGTACCTCCCGCTCTGACATTGTGATACTAATTAACGGCTAATGAGAGGTCGCTTAGGGGGGGATCTTCTTCAGGTATCCCCACTTATAACGCTTTGAAGCCTGGCCTCTCTCCGTTCGTCTTACTGCGGGTATAAAAATAATTCCGGTTTATATTTGATTCACCCTCGTATATACAATATATAAACGAAGTGCGACAATTTAATTCCCGGATTGGTCATGTGATGCCACCCGCGACTTAACTGTATCGAAATCACACTAATATTTGTGTTTAAACATGTTTAAGGTAACTGAACATATTTAAGTTACGTGTATAAATTTCAAGCTGATAAAGCTGATTGTTCGGTAGCTATTAAGATGACAATAAATATCCGCGTGTACACTTTGGCGTAAAAATTTCGCGCGGTACACCTTGGATAATACTAATACCGGCGGTATTGTAAATTTCAGGCCTTATATCTTAGAAAGTACTCACTAAAATAATATTTTATTATAGGCTTTTGAAAAGTTGTCGAGGTAAACTATAAAAATCTGTAATGTGAAATTGGGGTTCTCATTTAAACAATTAAGGGTGACTATTTTGTGACTTTTAAATCCAAGGACAAACCACTTCTTCGATGTAGATGGCATTTCTTCACTATTTCCATTTTATGCTCTTAATTTTCTTGGATATACAGGATGTCCCAAATTAATCTTGGTTCCTGTAGTATGCATGTAATATGGATGAAAAGTCCTGAGCAGGGAAGCTATGAAACATTTTGCAGAATTCACAATATATAGGGAGAAATTAATTATTTTGTCTGAACTAATGAGCGCATGGGAAGAAGTAGGCTCGATTCTGTATAAAGAAAAATGGCTTCCTTCTGAAAATACTCTAATAACAATGAATACCAACTGATAACGAGAGGCGTGTTTCTTTTCGGCACCCATTGTCACATGACGCTCGCTACTTGTTATATTACTCCGTTTAGAAATCAGTTGATTCTCATCATAGATAGGAGATCTTCAGAAGTAAGCAATTTTTTTTTATATTGGGTTGGAAATAAGTTCGTTCGGTTCTTTTGACTGGTATAAAATA